TAGAATATGTAAGAATTTGTACATGACTTGATGACTACTTTATATATATATATATATATATATATCGCCACAGCCACGACATTGTCCGTTGCAGCTACAGTGCAGCTGGAGGGGCACAGTGGACAAGAAAGCAACTGTGGCATGGCATTTAATAACCAGTTTGCAATATTTAATATACAGATAAAATATTTTTTATATGGCAGAGGCGGCAGACGGTTCACCTGATGGAAAGTGACTACCGCCGCCCATGAACGCCTGCAACTCAGGAGTCACAAGCGCGTCGCCGGCCTCTAAGGAAGGAGTACGCTCTTTTCTTCGAGGTCGATAAAATTATAAATGATAGATTTTTTTATGTTAGAGGGGGCAGACGAACACATTAGTCACCTGATGGAAAGTTACCATCGCCGCCCATGAACGTCTGCAACTCAGGAGTTACAAACGCGTTGCCGGCCTTTTAGGAAGGATTACGCTCTTTTTTTGAAGGTCCGGAAATACCGCAGACGATAACCCGTTCCACAGTTTGTTTGTACGGGGCAAAAAGTGTCTCGAAAAGCGCACAGTAGTGGAGCGCCAACTATCCAGGTGATGAGCGGAAAGTTGCGGCTGGTATTAGTCCGAACAATTCCTCAGAGCACTCTCCATGATATATGACATAGAGAATGCACACACACAGCTAAAAGAAAAAGCTCTCAACCGCAAATACAGTCACATACGAAAACAAATAAATAAAACACGAGTAATCGATATTTGAAATGACGCTAACGACCATACTTGCTTAATAAAGTACGTGTTAGCTAATTACATCGATCGTAAACGTTAGTATCAAACAAATTAAACCTCACTTTATATGTTTAATGGTAAACATGGCCCTTTTTAACACCGGTGAACGTAATTAATTAACAATGGATTATATCCTATAAAAACTTACTACGTTATGGCTTAGACATAACGTAGTAAGATTTTAAAGTCTAAGTCAGAACCTGTACTTGGATTGCCAAGTACAGGTATGCGACCTTGACCTTCTAGAGCTGTAGATATAACATCATCATTATCAACAAGATTTAATTGTCTACCTGTCCACTGCTGGACATAGGCCTCTCCTTAGAAAGGAGGCTTTGGCCTACTATACCTCGCTGGCAAGACGGGTACTGACCCGCCAAGCCAGCCGCCGAGCCAGTCAAGTTTTCCTTCTCTTAGCAGTGCTGTTATCCTGCGTAGTTTGCTCCCTTAGTCGGCTATTATGACAACCACGGGATGAATAGAGGGGGTGACACTCCGTGTTCTTAATCTATCACCACACGGGTAATATAACTAAATATAGTATTGTACGTATAACTTACATTAACTAATCAATCCGTATAAGCAATATTTCTTTTCTACCCGGGACTTTCTTATCAACCTTCCCTTTCAATGGGCTTCCAATTATCTTATTTAATCCCTAAAGTGTCCGGTTGACGGCGATAACTTTGTCCCCCATTAAGTAACTGAGACTAAATTTATATTGATTTAAATTACTAAATTTATATTGAATGAAATGACTTAAATGACTGCACGGATGGCGTAATGATTTAAGCGGTCACCACGCCGATTCCTACTAAGCTGGATGTTGTGGGTTCGATCTCCACATGGGACGACACTGTGTGATCCACAAATTGTTGTTCTGAGTCTGGTCTTTCATGTATGCTTGTAAAGTTCGTTTAACTACGATCAGCTTGATCCGAGCATCCTTTATGTTGGATAACACTTCTTCTCTCACCGACTTTTAATCATCATACCTTCATCATCATCAACAGCCTTAAATAGTCCACTACTGGACATAGGCCTCTCCTTAGAAAAGAGGTTTTGACCTACTGGCCTGACGGGTTGGTATAGGGTTTGTGTCAAGTTTTCCTTCTCTTTGCAGTGCTGTTGTCCTGCGTAGTTTGCTCCGTTAGTCGGCTCTTACGACACCCACGGGATGAATAGGGGTGGTGACACTCCGTATTCTTAATCCATCATCACACGGATAAATACCTTCATACATCAAATTATCGCATGTGACTTTTTCATGCGCAGAACGCGTTTGAAGTTAAAACTACTGTCAGGCTGATATACTCGTATAACAGTTGAACATATTATTCTGACACTTTTTGTGTCGAATGAACCATCAGTGTAAGAACAAAGTAGTCTTGATTTTTTTATATTTGAAAAATAATTTTCCGATTTACTGATATACTATTCATTGTGTTTATGAGAAATCAAGCAATAGTTTATATACATACTTATTTTTAAACTGGCTGGCGTGTCAACAAAGTAACGATAAAATCGAAATAGTAATCTTGGATTGATAAGATTATCCTAAATTACATATAACTCATTAAATCCTATTTTTACACAATTTTTCCTCATTTTCGATGTGCGATACTGAGCAGACCAGACAAAAAAAAACTGTCTTTAAACAGAATGCCTTAAGTCTTTCGTTACTTTTCACCGAGTGAGTTAGGTTACCGGAGCCCAACCCCTGCCCCTTAACTCTGGGGGGGGGGGGTCAAGGGCGGCAACTTTCTTGTGACTCTAAACTCTTGGGGTCCATCGTCGGCGGTAGATACTTACCATCAGGTGACCCGTCTTGTTTGCCCCCCTTATACATAAAAAAAATGCTCGAATGACTATCAATGATATTTTAAGGAAGATACGTTATATTCGTACTGCACGCACAAAATATTTGTTTCGTAACACTACACATACATCTATTAACGCATTTTAGGACAAAATATACGCTACCAGTTCGATAGGAAATAGGGAGAGCATAAGAGTGCAAGAGACAGCTATTTGTAATCAGTACAGCGACAGAAGGCATTTTATGATTTTTTTACGAATAAATTAGTACGTGGGCGCGCTTTTTGTTGACCTAATTAGGACCTTCACGTTTTGTGCGTTGGTGGCGTATCTACCTCTTGTATGTATATAATATCATTGATGGCAATATATATTTTAGATATTCGTCGTAACCTATTTTCTTAAGTTATTTTCTCAATAATGTTACAACTTGAGATTCAGTACCATTTATCAGCATGACTATTGCCAATGTGGTTGGTACAGGAAACGGAGCCGGAACAACAATCCCGCGCCGGAAGCCCGCTCCGGCTAAATGCATTACTGTGAACACCTCGCCTTGCTCCTGACTTCCGCTATTTACGTTTCCAAACCGTTTTAAATAGTTCTCTCTTTCCACTCAATATGGTTCGAAGCTATTTCACGTAAAGTTATTTCACGATTTTGTGCGGATAGAGTAAAAATAAGTGCTAACATAGTCAGTGACCTGGACATATTTCATTGCCAATGGCAATCCTATTTCCCTTTGAACTCTAGGCTATAGACATACCATGAATATCATAATCTGCACGTTGGAGGTACTTTCCCTAAATAATTACAGAAATGCAACCACAAAATAAAAAAAATCTAATAACTTTGTAACCTATTACTATGGAGATTTTCATCTTTTAAAATAAGAAATCACAATACATAATAAAAATAATAATTTATTAAAGAAAAAAAGAATTTTATATTATATTAGTAAAAATAATTTGCTTTCATACTAATGTTAGTATAAAATACAATATAATTACAAAAACAAAATCAAAAACAATTTATCAAAACTATTATCACTTTTTTCAATTTTTCTTTGTAACATACGTAATTCACTAACGAAGTAATTACCTTTTTTATTATAACTTTCATCGACTTGTCAAAATCTCAAAGTGCATTGTCGTCCTGATCTCGCACACATTCGTGGCACGCGACTGCAGCTGTATTGTGAGGCTAAACTTCAATACATGCTTCAGCACAAAAGAATTGCACAGGAGAGTCCTCCTGAATAATACGTAAAGCGATATCTCTCTCCACAGATGTGAAAGAGTATTTGACATTTAAATTACAATGAGCAATGTGAAATCACTTGGTTGCCGCGATACAAGGCACGAGAATTTTGTATTTTTTTTGCTGTAAATGTATTGATAAATAAAATAATAAACAAATAAAATTTCCATCGCGACCGAATACTGTTACGAATGACTATTACTGAATACTATTAAGACATGGTGGCAAGAGGAATGGTGACAAACATTAAGATGTTTTTCACCATTCCTCTTATCACCTGGACAGGTGACAGAGGGAAAAAACACTTGACACTGTCTACAACTTAAGAGACTTACTTTGAAAGTGAGAGAAATATCCTTAGTAATGTTGTATAGGAATTTACAAGGAATAGTTGATAGCAGCATACCTTTTTTAATTATCTTTAGTGCGATAAAAATTTTGAATTTACTGTCAGAAAATAGTTGGAAGAAAAAAGAAGAAAATAGTTGAAGTTTTAGTAATATAAAAAATGCCGCTCATTTTATTGGCTTACGGAAGCGAGATACTGAGCTTTTACGTTTATTTTGTTAAACAGTGACGCCTTTCGAGCGAAGTCAAAAACCTAGTTAACTAATAAAAATAACCTTTTGTCCATGACAAAATTAAATATTCTCATTAGTTGAAATTTCTCCTGCTTAAGGATATTTAAAGGAGTTTAGGAGGAAGACAAATCTCGCAACATTGCTAGTAAAGATTGTCTATTTCATAAAAGAAAAAAGTATTATAAAGTTCAACCAAGCTGAAAGTTGTCTAGTTTAAGTAACTTATAACATTAGGGTGTTCTAACTTTATTTTAAAGGACTTTTCTAGGTGTTTGTTTTCAAGTTTCGATCTTAAACGGTATTAGAAAAATCTTAAAGGCTTACGAAGTGTAAAGCTAGTTATTTATATCTGAGATTGCAGATTTTGAGTACCTATTACTAGGAAACTATAAATTTGTCTAAGCTGGAAATATCAAAAGCGTTATGAGCTAATAAAGAGACAATTTTTATAGGTTTATTAACCGATATTGAAGATGGTCTGGGTCAGGTTAGTACAATATAAGATAGACGTTTTAGCGCCACTTTTTAAGATCAATGCAGGGTTAAGATATAGGTATTGGGCTAATTATTATGCTCACTGACCTGGTGCAGCCTGGCATCACCGCTGACAATGTACACTCCGTGGCACTCAGCGGCATCTTCTGGCTTATCCGTCGACGGTGATCTTCGCCAGCAGGCTGCACACACCGCCACTAAAACGCCGCAAAGTGTTGCACTACGACAAATAAAAATTTACATTAAAGCAATGCAATAATTTCATAATTTTTAGTTCAGAGCGTCTATTTCATAGTATTATGGTTTACAGTACTAGTATTATAGTAGTATTTCATAGTACTCAAATGATCATGTTGAAATTTTTATAGCTACCCGTGGCAAAAAGACATTCAACCACAAGAAAAGCTCTTTTCCCGAGTAATAGAGCTATTTTTTTTTTCAAAGAAAAAGGGAAAAATCAGTTACTCATTAAGCATAGGCATCCTATGCATTCGTATGATAAAAAATACAATTGACCTACAACGAGAATCGACGACATAGTCGCAATCCTAGTCGCAGTTTTGACCTACTGCCATGATGGCCAGACGGGTTGATATAGTTTTTATCGCAATGTAATGTTTTTAATCACTTGATCCATACTCCTTTTTTAAGTATGTATTTAAAATACTCTCGCAAGTTTTAAAACTGGTTTCAACAAATTTAAAATCAGTCAGCTCTTTACATTGCCACATTAAATTGCAGTAGCGATATGCTATGTTATACATAGCCTAGATTGCGATCATGCTTCATAACTCAAATTACCAATAAACTCGCTGCAGATGTCAAGTATAAATAGAACCAACTAGGTCATATTTCAGCGAAACTTATGCTTACATGATTTGTGTATCGTAAAGGGTGGATATTTGTAGATTTATTTAAAAAAAGCTACACTTGACTTCATTGTGAAAGAAAAAAGCATTTACTCTTTCTAATAGCACATTTAAAATAGCGCTATCTAGACAATTATACCAAAAAATAGAGCTCATTTTTTTTTAGGGATTCGTAAGGATACATTTTCACATAGTTGTACTTATAAAAAAGGGAACCAAAAATATGTTTTTGCGCTTGCTTACGGCGGCGAAGCTCGCCTGTCAGAGCTCGCTGAGCCTTGTTTGAGGTCGGACGCACGTCATTTTGCTCCGTGAAATTCCCCCGCGCAAATACGTAAAATTCGTTTTCACAGAGCTTCAACAGAATACTTATAAGTTAATTTTAATATAATTATTCCTTCTGCTTTATTAGTAAATTATTTCCGTCTACAATGTTTATAAAACACAAAAATAGTAAAATTTTACAAACACATCAGTTTCACTGCGCCACAGTCTAAAAAAATCAGTATGCATGTGAGTACGGTAAATAAATAGTATTCATTGGTAGTATAGAAAGAAGGTAATCAGAAAATGTTATTAGAAATCTCTAATTTTGGTATTGACTATACACATTTAAATTATGTGGAATTCAACAGTAATATAAGTTTATTTATTGTTATTTTGCAGCACTTCGATAAGACAAAGCATATTCACAGGCGTGGTTGAGACCCTACAGAACTCAATTTCTATTGATCATATTACTACGTTAGTTTTTGTATTTATATAAATGGAATATCTATTGTTTTTTTAGTTTTGTCATGCCAATCACATGCGTGGCATGCCAATCCGAAACATACATATTTTTAACCTCAGGAAAAGAAAATGAAGCATCACCAGGCTCTTTAACATACGCTTAAATTCCGAGTGTATCTGACACTAATATTATACAGTACACTAATTTTTGAAATTATCTTTGAAATAGAAAGCGAAATATTAATTATTATATATATGAAATTGATAGAACCAATTTAAGTATGTTGGTAAATAAGGTCTCTTCAGACAGCACTGTAACGAAACGCATTTTTGTAAGCTAACTATGCTGTGTGAATAGGAAAGCCCGCTTGCCTATTGTGCTTTGACATGACTGATATAAAACTTAAGAAAGTTTAGAATAAAACTTCCACCTCAATCATCATCTGTTATTAAAGTTATATAAATTATTCAACTTATGTTGTGTGTATTATTAATTAAAGCCTGTATTATGGTACCCAATCTGCTGATAAACTCATGAAGTAAGAGAAATTTGTAGAATAATGTATTAAAAAAAAACGACGGGTTGCACTCCGGGAGTACCGGCAGAAGTGAAAACTTTAATATTAACGTTGTGCATTGTTGATATTTTGGAATGGTTAGGGAATAATTTTGCACAAATTGCTTTAATTATCAGTATAAAAGTACTATCATTTATGTGGTAGAATGATTTATTGCGCTATCGTACACAAACATGACAATTTATATTACATTAAAAAGTTTATCTCTCAGAAAAACGAACATTCGCGCAAGCGCCCTGCGCCGCCTAAACGAAACAGCAGTCGCAGGCATACATTTTCGCCGCGCCGTAGAAAGAGAGGGGGATACTTCCTCTCCTACGCTGCGCCGACTGTCTACTCTCCATCCGTCTTACGAATTTTCGATCAGGTCACGTGTCCTGACGCGAGTTTAACATTTATTACCCATTACAAAAAAAGTCTACAACGCCGCTAAAGATGTTTTCTCTTCAAAAACATCTATTGTTTATAAGATTTTGAGTAAACAAATTATATATGTAGGAAGTAATGACCTAATATCCTATAACTAATCACTAATAAACCTTAGTTCGCCTGTATAAACGGTCATTTAATTCCAATATTTTTTTGTGTATACCTATTTTAGTAGAAAGCTAACACACAGGTGAATAACAAAAGTTTAAAAGTGCAAAAGCCAATTAAAATTATATACGTCAAACATGATATTCTTTTCTAACTACTGCATTACGAGTATGCTACACTGTGGCACAATATCTGGACGTAACTTTGAGTGGCGCGCAGCCGACTCGCGCAGCTTTTTGACACGCTGCGTCTTTGCGTACGATACGTTAGCGGGGGGGTGAGGTAATGTTTGCACACCTACACACCGCTCTGCAAGAGCGCCTTAAACTAAGCCCATGCTTAGATTAAGTCTAGATGCTAATAGACCGCACAGAAAACTGTTAATAAGTAATACTCGCTAACTATCAGGTGACCGGCCTCCTAGTACGCCCCCTACACCACAAAATATATCAATACCAAACAACATAATTTGAAATTTTAGGGCTTAAACATAATTGCACTGGACGGGTGATCACACAAACACGACATTGACGAATTTCACGGCTAGTATTGACAATTAATTTTAGACTAAGTTGAGCGTTTGCCATCAGCGATTATTGTATTATTGTGCATCTCGCCAATTAATTATTATTTTTAATTATCTGCCCCGACAGATTTTGTTTTGTCATAATCTTTGTCATTTGTTAACCATTTGCTTCCTGTTTTTCAGGCAACTTTTATAATTTTTCTTTGACTAAAAACCTATATGTATCAAAAATATATTATCTTGTTTGCGACATTCACATACGGAATCATTCTCGAGTTCACGTATATATATCTAACTCATATTCTATTCAATTCTTCCAAGAATAAGACAAACATGCTGGTCCAAGAATACGTAATATGCTAAGACGGCGTTAGATATTCTGAACACTTTATTTTAAACATATCTCGTAAAAGACATTGAGTAAGAACAGAAATGTTTTAATTTGCCACCTAAATGCCTCTTCCTTTATCCTGTATGTAAGTAGGATATCACTAAAATCTCTGTTTACTATGGAGCAAGAACTTATTACGAAATGGGCTTAAAACTCAAATAAAAAAGTAAATATTTATATATTCACTAGACACGTAATTTGAAGGCAGTCAGGCCTTGGAAATGGGGGCGATAATTAATACACATTGTAATTGATGTATTGATTTATACACGAACAAAATTATTACTTACCTTGAATTTATTTTATTACATAGATATAATTATGAAAATTGATTTTATTAACTTAAGAATTTATAGTTTATAAATACATAATCACTACAAAAAAGACTCGTGAGGTACTCACACACACTAAAAATTACATAGATCATCAAAGTATTCATTGTGTTATAAATTGTTCACGTATATATATATCATCATCATCATCAAAGTATTCATTGTGTTATAAATTGAATTAACTGTAATCACTTAATTAGGGAAATCCAGTCATTTTTTCAGAATATTCGAGCCGATAAATTAACGCGGACGTTGGCAAAGATTACAGGCAGCGATAAATTCGCTCATCGCGATCAGACTCGATAGCTTAATTAAAGGCACTATCTAATATTATGCAGCCTCTAGAGCGTGTATATGTACAGATAAGAGTCAAAATATTTGTAACTTTTTTACGACTATGTGTATACATAGTATATTATTAAACATGGTAACACACTTTACTTAACATTGTGTATTATCAATGTGTTCGTAAGATTAATTTTAAAACAACATTTAGTAGATTTTGATGTAATTATTGTCACTCGACTAGAGAATTAGCTTCACATTATAGACTTCTGTGGTTCACTAGCACTTCTGGTGCTATTCTTCAGCTAGTTATAAGTAGCTTGGTCCATTGAGTAGCGTAACCAGAGCTGGCATCGATGTTACAAGTACTTCTAGGCACATATTGACTGCACGGATGGCGTAGTGGTTTAAGTAGTCGCCAAGCCGCTTCCTACTACGCTGAGTGTTGTTGGTTCCATCCCACACATAGGGCGGCACTTTTTGTGATCCACAAATTGTTGTTCTGAGTCTGGGTGTTCTTTGTGTACGTTTAATGTTTGTAAAGTCCCCCGCGACACAGGATTTATTCCTAATTAGTCTTTTAAAAAAACTAGTCACTAGATACCGCTAAAGTCAAACAAGCGTGTAGTATAATAAATATAGTTGTTTTTTTACCGACTTCCAAAAAGTAGGTTTCATAATTCGTCGGAATCTTTTTTTTAATGTATGTTCACCGAATACTCGAAGACGCCTGAACCAATTTGGATTATTTTTTTGTTTTAAAGGGTATTCTTTGCAGGTGGTCTCATTTAAATTTTATTGAAATCGGTCAAGCGGTTTTTGAAAAATCAACAAAAATCTTAAAATTGTAAACATCGATGTTATTTTTGTTTACTTACGAAACCTTGCTGTATCATTGGAGCAGTGGATTTAGTTGGTCTTTGTTAGTATTGGTTTGAAGTCGGTTCAACTTTAATATTATCACATTTCC